ATAAATATATCCTAAAATCCCAAGTTTTTACAGCTCAAAGGAGCCAGCAGTTTGAGCCAAGTCTGTTTCTAGGTAAACATTATAAAACAGACTGATTTAGGATGTAATACTTTAATGTCATAGGTGAAAGCTTAGGGTCACTTGAATTAGAAAAAAATCATTTTCCAACTTTAAGCTGTTTTAATCAGTTTTAAAGAGCTCTTTTTTAAGTTCTTTAAAACATTATCTTTAAAAACAAAATTATATGACTTTACAATGAAAAGAGAAGATGAATAAACTAGAGTAGATTTCCATATTAACAATGCTGACATCACTGATGTCAGCATTGCGGATTGCTAATGTCAGTATTAGCAATGCTGACATTAGCATAAAGCTGTTCTGTGTTTCCCCTTCAGGGGGAGTTATGGTCTACCTGAGTGCTCTTGTTGAAATGTTCAAATACAACTGGAAATGCAGTATATTAGGCAAAGAAGTAAAAAAAAAAAAACCTTAAAAATTAGTATTTGGCATGTCCTTTTCACAGTATCAAAAACAGGAAAAAGTCCCCTGTGATGATATCACAAGGTCATTTTTAAAGTCTGCAAGTGAAATCAATTGAGAGCGCTGCAAGTCCTTCTGTGATGAACTCCATAAAGACGGGGCAGATGAGATGAGCTCTGTATGAACAGGTGAATCTAATAAAGTCCTGAGTCATGACTAAACTGTTTCTGTAACATGTAATCTGACAAATAAAAGGGGAGAAAACCAGAAACAGATTAATATATGAAGATATAAATGAACCATCCTGAATAAGGACAGTGGGGACAAGTCGACAGTGGTGTGTTAAAGGTTTACATCTAGTTATAGAATTTAATGCCCCATTATAAACACAATCCAAAAGATGAAGAGAATAAGTAGATATATGTAAATTATATCACCATAATCCAGGAGGGGTAAAAAGTTGGCAGCAACAAGCCTTTGACTTGCAGTGAAAGATTTCATAAAAAGAACTTCAACTTAAGCCACAGTTTGTTTATCAGGCGGTCAATATGTAGCTTTAAGGAAAAACTATTATCAATCACAATACCTACTGTAAATATCTGTATGAAGCCACAGTTTCAACACAAATTGTCTTGAGCAAATACAAGAGAGGTAAGTACAGCAGGTATGCTGTTTCTATTTGAGAACAACATGATCTTGTTTTTTTCAGCAATTAAAATCAGTCTGTGCTGACACAGCGGTGACTGTATAAAATCAAAAGCCAGCTGTAATTGTTTAAAAACCATCTTGATGGTTTGAGCACAATAAATAATTGTATCATCTGCATAGAAATGTACAAATGCATTAAAATTATGTCACAAGCCATTAACATGAATATTAAATAATTCCAGCCCCGGGACAGAATTCAAAGAAACCTCGAATTCCTGCAAAAATCCCCGGCTATGATATTTGTTTTGCTGTGATGAAACATGACCTTCACTGCAGGATGTGAAACAGATTTTTGCCATATTTATGTACATCTGTTCAGATCACATTTAGCCCCGGTTTCCTGTCCACAGCTTCATATCTGTGCTCATCCGTGAATGCAAAATCTTGATACAAATCATATACCTTAAATAGATTGACAGGCCTTTCTTTAGGACCTCACCTTTATGTTTAAGCTAGCTTTTAGGCTTGGCGAAGGTGTTGATCCCTGTTTGTGTGTGTCCGCGTTAATTTGCAGAACAAAAAATTGATCCTAATGGGATATGCAGCCTAGTTTAAAATTTGCAGTGGTGTATTTGGCTTTTTGGACCCACCTTTACATCAATTTACATACTACATATTTCTATTTTAACATTTGGAAAATTCCGTATGGAAAAATAACTTTAAAAAACAATTACAAATATCTGTGTTATATTTGATACAATTTTCATTTTACATAATATGTAAAAATGTATGAATCGAGTTGTGATTAATGTATGAAAAATGCACAAATATTAGACAAGCATTTGCTATTTTTGGAGTGAAAGGTGCAAAGGTTCTTTAATTTTTTTTTCCCATGGGATGAACTGCTCTATAAATGTCTAAATTTAAAATGCTGACAAGTCGATGCTTTGAGATGATATTTGTTGCTTCCTGCTCTGATTTCAATGCACTGGCTTTGTTCAAAGAAGATCAATACCCTGGAGCCATAAGAATGGAGGCTGTTATTTGCAACATGACTGAAAACTTCATGCGCTTGTGCTTTAACGGATGAAACCATTAGGTGTAGGGTGTGTGACAAGCTGAAGACATCTCTGTTTTCTGATAACACCTTTCACTTTGGCAGAATTGTGTTGTGAATGAAACTTTTTAGGCTTCCTCTTTGAAATTGTGCTTCTTCCCTGTTGTTCTTTCACTTCTGTGTGTGGGTCCTCTGCATTCTGTATGACTCACTTTCTCCCTGATTTATAAATCCTCTCAAACACAACTTCATGTCCTTCACTGATTTCATGCAGCATGAGACGTCCAACCAGCTGCTCCTGTGCTCTCTTCTTCATCCTCGTCCTCCTCTTCCTCTCTGAGAGCTGGGGCCAGAGGTTGAACACAGACGACAAGAAGCCATCCTGCGATCACTGCAACCAGCAGCTCTTCTGTAACTGCTCCCACAGTGGATTCACCAGTGTTCCCACTGTAACAGGCAGTGCCTTGAGTCTTGATCTTTCCTTTAATAAAATAACAGCTGTGACGAACGATGACCTGACAGGCCACACGCAACTGAAGGTTCTTGATCTCCACGGTAACACATAAAGTATTGATCGAGTGGGTGTTGGTGGAGGGGCAAGCTGTGGTGATGAAAAAAAGTGAGAAGAATACCAACAGCTAACTATAAAAAAAATATTCTTTTGACAACATTTTATTTTGAAAAGTGAGACTATTTCAGCCTTTTTATCTGCTTTTTCTGTAACTAGTAGGATCATCAGCATATCCCAATGGACAAAATACTGGTTTTGTCTACTCACTCTGTATTGTGCAGGTATTGTTGCAAGTTAAAATTTGAGAAAAATCTTTTTTTTTAAATAATGGGAGTCAGTTGGATTTGTGGTTGCATGTTTTAGTCATAAGGGATGTAATTTGAAGCCAGAAGTCATATTGTAGTGACTGGGTGAAAATCTACCAAAAGTATATACATTTGGATGTGTAAATTATGCACGTCAAGGGACACTATGGCCATGAAACCTTGTCCTGAAATTTACTTTAAAACATTGAAAAGGTGATTTCAGGTTAAGTGCATGGCATCATCACACACTCTCACTTGAAGACACTGGGGAGGAAGGCAGTCATGCATAAAATGTGAACTATGATTGTGAAAAACTTGCAAAAGACATCAAACCCTCATAATTGAAGATAAATCCAAAGTCTTGTTATCTATTTAAATATTTACTTTACAACAAAGTGTGCCATGAACAAGGGCTCCCAATGACATTATGATGTTTTGTATCTGCTACAGTTATTTTTTACTTGTTTGTTTTCCAGTTGCTACAAAAAAGACTTGGCCGAGCTCTGGGATTTCAATTCAGTGTTTGATTTTCATCAATAAAATGTGTTTACAATTTATTTTAAGATAGATGTTACTATCCTCCAGGCAATGGCTTAGCTGAGATCCATCCATCAGCTTTTGACTCTCTGTGGAGCCTGGAACAGCTGGATCTCTCTTACAACCAGCTGACTATGCTCAACCACAAATGGTTCAGCAAGCTGGAAGCTCTGCAGCAGCTCAACCTACTCAACAACCCATACAGGTAATAAGCTAAAGGTACCAAAATTGTGACAAGACAAAAAAAAAAAAAAAAGAAATTATTATCATTATTACATCATGGTTATTTTCTTTTCCTCTGCTCTCATCTAGTTACCTCGGTTCTCCTCCAGTATTTGGGGCCCTAGTCAGACTAAGGAAGCTGGCCCTTGGAGGTCCTTCTCTGAAGGAGCTCAGGAGAGGAGATCTGTCTGGAGTCACCCAGCTGGAGGAGTTAACTGTTCATGCAAACAACCTGACCAGGTTTGCACAGGTTTTGATAGTGGTGTTAAGTTACTGTATTTACTAGTGGTGGTAGCTTCAAATTAGCATCCTTTATTCTAACTGCCTTGAGTCTTTTTTGTTTATGGTTAACTGTAGTGAGGCTATGAACACATTTGTTATAGGTAGCTATAGATAGCTAAAAGTAAGTTACTTAGTAGGTTAATGAATCAACACGCTTTATGAAACCGTTTCAATCTCAACTTCAGAAATGTGTGTCAAATTAATGAAGAATAACTAAGAGACATCTTTAAAGACTCCTATTTATGGCATAACTCTTTTATATATAATTTCAGTTATAAATAAAAGTTACTTTTTTAAAACAGTTCTTTAAAATGTGTTGGTTATGGTCTATTTTTATGGATTTTTTATCCTTATTTGGGCTAACAACACAACACTTCTCTATGTGCTTTTACTAAATATACAAATCAATATCTGATGCTGTTATTATTGTGTATACTGTCTTCCTTTTCACATATCCCCAACATTTAGCTTCTGTATCTTGCTTCTGCAGCTATGACGCTGGTACATTAGCACACATTTGGCCGCTAGGTCATGTCACTTTGAGTCTCCATGGTCCTTTTCTAACAAATGTGACCTTGGCTGGGTCTATGATTGATGATGTGTCATATCCTGAGACACCCATCATTCTGAAAGACATCAATTTGATTGGAGTTCAGTCTGTTCAGCCCTTTAGTAAGGCAGCCAAAAGGAGGATCAGGTATGGACATCACTTCTACTTGGGTAAAACTAATATTCTAACAAACTGGGAAACAAACCAACCTATTCTTCCTCTGTGTTGTAACTCTTAAGGTATTTGACCCTACATAATATTTCTGTGTCTGACGAGGCTATTGTTGACTTCCTGGTGGTATTAGATGGAGTTCCACTGACCAAACTTACCATAGAAGATGTCACACTGATGGGCGAAGGCTGGTAGGAAACAAAGCACATTATCTTTTTGGCATATGTCCCAGTTAGCAACTTTGGTTCAAAAGAAACGTTTGTGTATTATACAGGAAACTGAAAATAACGAACTTGTCTTTTTTGGTTGGGGTTAGGTGGGGGAAAGCTAGCCAAACTGATCTCAGAAGCATAGATGAGTTCTACATCCGTAACGTTGTAATTCTGGATGTCTAC